TTGGTTTGTGACAGTGCGAAATCCCGGGTCGACTCCCGCCCAGGCCAACCAAGCCTTCTACCCTCCGGGGACGGTGAATTGGTACCAGATTCGTCTGGGAGGATAAAACACTGACTTGTACATCGGCTGGCCCCGCAAGTCATTGTATAGGCCACATCGCATTCAATAAGCCACTACGATTCTGAATGGAAGTAGAATGCGTGCCGCATCCCACAAAGGGATTGATCAACGGCGAAGACTTTATCCTTTATTTTTATTTACTTTGTGACTCCATAAAGGCTAAGTGTAGAAGGCAGCCGTCGTTTCACAGGAGCTATCGCTGCTTTGAGTGCATCATAGTCTTGCTATAGCGACCCGTTCAGGGTGGGGGAGAGAATCCGTTGCCTGCTTTCGCAGGTGAATCGTGTACCGAACAATTGTTTTGTTAGCTGTTCGTTCAACTGTCAACGCTGAGATTTGCCAATCATTCTGAGTATTTTCTACAACTTCATATGGTACTCAACCTCTCTATTTTGAAAGCTTTCTCATCAGATCAAATTTTTTACAGTATTCTGGATGGGAGAGTGAATGTATACCAGCTCCCTTTGTTGGACAGAATAATCTGGGATGTGCTGTGGTCATCAAGCCTACTCGAGGGGACTTCCATAGGTGAGTTTGTGACGGTACTTACTTTCTCTTATGTATTGCGTACGTTCTCACGTTAACACTACAATGCGTTGGTCGACTTTTCCCCAGTTCCTCACATTTCTTCATACTTTTGCTATCATTTTACTTTTGAAATTGTTCGTCTTGAAGTAAGCGAGAATGAGCATAGGTTGTCAAGTGATTCCAGAGTTTAATCAAATGTAGTTGGACCACTCTTCTACTCATAGAAATTTCTTGGGTTTCAATAGTGTATGCTATCTAGCAATGAAAATCGGAAGAGTAATACTTTCAATGCAACTTATTCTCTTGTGATTCTCGCGCGTTCATATTTGCTTTAGCCTTTGGACGTACTGCAGCGTTTTGAATGTACGACTAGAAAACTGTGGGTACCGATCTAGCGTTTTTAGCATACGCCACTCTTGATCATACAGCAGCGTGCGCTCAAAACGCTAGGTCGATACCTACCTTTCCTATTTGTTGGAAACGTTGGTGTGCGTTTAAAGCGCTGGATTGAAGCGTATACCTTTCTGGTCGCTCAAAACTCTGACGCTATGCGTGAACTCTTTCATAGTAGGTACACTCTAGTTCGTTGCGGACGGTTGGGCGTGTCAGCCAGTATGAGTGTGTCACCCCTTCAAAGCCGTTCTCTGCCTTCTTGTTGAAACGCGCATGCGAAAAAGTGGTAGAAAACGAGTAATACGAAGGATATGATAGTATTGTCACTTGCCCGCTTCAACAACTGGTGGAGAACGAGTTTGGCACCGCGCCAAACGCAGCGCGCGCGTAGCTGGGCAGCGCACCGTTACCGCAGCGAACGGTACCTACAGCTTTTTTTAGCTATCATTTAAAATCCTTAATTCAGATCACGGTGTGATCTACCGTAGTTCACCATTTGCGACTTTGAAATTGTGAGTTTGTTTGTAAAAATGAATATCGGAGTACCACTCTGCCTCACACCGTCAAAAGAAAGGATTGGAAATCTGAGGAAATCTGAAAAAGGGCATTTGGAATAGGTGTTTAAGATATTTTTTATTTTTTTTTTCTGAATCGCCTCAGGAACTGGTTATACTCCTTTTCGGATGTTGAAGATACTGGGTGTTACTTACAAAGCTAGAATTTTTGGGTTCATGCGATTAAGACTGTACAGGATAACGAGCGCCTTTCATGATACAAACTTTGATTACTCCCAATCGTTTTACTTCGGTTTTGATGGCAGCGCATTACTATCTGTTGAACATCTTTTTCAGCTATCGAATGGGCGATGATCTACATATTGGCATATCTAACTCAATGTCCGTGTTACATTCCTACTGGATGAATGGCATATCGTCAGAAGGCATTGCGCTGGGATAAGTGACTATGCAGTTTGGTCGCTTCGGCGATTGATGAGGACAGGTTGGCGATGATATTGTTCCTTTATTGTGGTCGTCTTTCATTCTTTCAAATCCAGGTTCATTTCAGATTCTGATGATTATGCTTTCTGTTCTTTTTCTTTAGAGAAATGCGTGGACAGCTTTGATGGGAAAAGGCGCTGTGCGTTTTTTGTTGGGATTTTTTTGATTTCGTCCCACGAAATAGGCAATTTCATTTTACTTGTCCCTGGGGCCAGTCTATGAAAAAAATCCTTTTTGCTTTCATAGTTTATTGAGAGTCAGAAGATGAATTGCTTCGATTTTCGTTTGGAGTTTCCTACGCTTCCATCATTCAGGAGATACACGATATAGATCGATTCGCTGGGACGACAGAATTTGTTCAGGACTCCTTAAAAGTGCAGTTAAGTATAATATGTTAGTCCAGCGGGTAGAGGAACGTGGTTTTGTACTTTTATAACAACTACTAAAGCTCGTCGTTCTTTGATTTTCTGGGATATGAGGCGCATTTATTCACGAGGTCGCAGAGACGAACGAGCGTCTGCGCACAGCAGCAGCTGTTCTCGTCGTTTTTGCATATTCTAATTCGTTTTGACATACTTTTTTATTCGATATTATTACTCGACTATTCCATCGCATTCAATTTACGACTTTGAACAAAGTATTGAGGAAACCATCTGAAGGCATGAAACTAACAAGTGTGAAAACCACTAGTAGTTTTATCCACAGACTGGTTGCTTTCAGTGTCCCTTTTTGCTATTCAGAGATATGAATCCATATAACGCTTTTTCGTGGGCGCTCCATTTGCGGCTCTTGAGGCAAAGTGCGCCTTATATCCCAGATTGTAGGGTATTTCCATCTATGAATCACTCAGTTATAATGTGGTGTTACATCTACGTGTTCCTTGCCTCGGTTGTCTTCTCAAGTTCAGCTATTGAAGTTCACCTTGTATTTATTCGTTTATCAATAGTTTGTGGTGTATTTAATACGACGTGGTAAGGGGTTGCACCATTAGCATGACCCACTTAACCACTGCCCCTAGTGTGACATGAGCTCTCTCCCCACCCTCTTAAAAGTTTAGCATCACTTACTCTAATTTCCATTTCCTGCCTTGTCACTGCCCCTGGAGTGAGCGCCCCCCCCCCCCCCCCCGCTCTTCGTTAAAAGCTTGGCATCACCGACTTTACCTCCATTTCTTCCCAGAACTGCGACACTGATCATGGTGTGTGAAATGGCGATGTGTACAACCACACCCCAAAAAGGTCCCTACTCTGAGAGCACCCTCCTCACTATCTTACCCTCTATCTTCCTAATTTCTCAACTTCCTTCCAGTTTCCACAAAGGTTCCCTACTTTTTCCCTAGAAACTGCTTTTTCCTTAGAAACTGCGAGAGAAGAGGTCTCCACCTTCACCAGAGTAATCTATTGGAAATAATGGTTGCATATCACAAAACCGCCGGGTTACGGAGTAGAGTGAGACCCCAAGCGGGTCTCGATCGGCTTCCCCTGCTGACCGAGCATCCTACTGCAGTACAGACTCGGGATATTAGATAGGACCCCCTCCACAGCGGCCAAGTATGACTGCCTCCCTGCCTGATGATGTGACTCTCCCAGCGATGCTGTACCCTATCCAGAGCAGAGAACTCGTCAACAAGGCAATGTTCCCGTATCTCAGAGAGAGAACTCGTCAACGAGGCAATGTTCTCCATTTTTTAGGCTAATATAGGCCTCTCTAACAGGCTTGACTTTCCTCGGCGATCGTACGTCTGTATGCATCGGATGTAACTTTTCCTTCGAAATATATAGTGCATTACAAAACAACTTTCTGATCTATAAACTAGCGCTGTCTTGGTTAACTATCAACTGCCTTATCTGTTCTGATTCTGTAGAAAGGAACTCCTTGAATGTCAATAAATCTTTCTAGATCGTTATCGAGACGAGCACTTGCTTTCCGTTGTTCGGTGGTATTTCCTAATAAATATGGGTCTATAGGATGTGATTTTACCTTCATACCAGGTTCAACGATGGCAGAGCTGTTAGAAGAGACGTCAAGCGTAGACGCAGATCGTGTCGTAGACCAGCAAAGTTTCAATTGCGCTCAGGTTCCATATCTGTTGATCAAGGGGGCGGTCATAGTTCCTGATCCGATCGCTTGGATCGCGAAGCATGAACGCGCTCTAATGGGTGTTCGTCAAAATGAAAGCGGTACTTTTTCAGTTTGAAATATTTACCCATGAGTACCGTGAACGCAAAGAGCCTCCTGGATGTGAAGCTCACAGTGATGGTGAGAATTCATGCTGTGGCTCGCCGTCATCCAGTGGCGATCATAAAAAACGAATAGTGAATACAACGAGAAAGCTTCAGAAATCTGTGCTTGCATTGCAGCGGTACTTCTTTTTATTATACAGGCTTCTATACACCCCGACATATTTATATTTTTGCAGAATGCCGAATAATGAGGTGATAAGTGACATGCTGCAGAAAATGCGAGATATTGGAGGGCGTCTGAGTGAAGCGTTGAAGCAGCTACAGGCAGAGTTTTCCACTAAAACGATTCCCCTACCCGAATTTGATCCTGCTGATATGCATCTACTGCTTGGAGAAGAGGAGGTTGAGTACATTTCACTTTCTTTGAGTTAGGCATACTTTGCGACTTGAGTCGGTCAGTCGCGTCTTTGGCGAACGTGAAAGTGCTGTCATGCAAGTTCCACCGCTAATCATTAGGCTACTGCCACCGAACTTGACGTGCATATTCGGAATAAAGCATCGTTTGACCGGCGGCGGTGTTACGCTTCACGGGGAAGCGTTGTCAATCGCAATGGCGCATCTGAATCGCTCGACGAAGTATGAACACGACCTTAGAAGTCAATATCTGAGGCTGCTTTCATACTTCGCGACTCGCGCGACATTGCTCGAGATGCCCCAGTGCGGCCTTTACGCCACGCTGCCATTGTTTATTCAATCATATTCAAAACAAGCACTCTTCGCCTGTTTGTTTAGAATTAGGTGAATGTTGAACAACTAACGTACCTGGGAGGAGGGGGAGGGGGGAGGAAGGGATTGGGGGACCAGTTCCCAACGTCTCGGCACCCCTGAATATTCTCTGCGGGATTATCGGCGACTCTGGAGGTTTGCGTTCTAAACCTTAGCCTTTTTAGGGAAGGGATACAGAAGCGCAGCAAGTGGTCCTCTCAGTTACGTTAGAGCCAAGGTTAACAGTTCAGACATGAAGTCTCGTGGAGGAGAAAGAATACAAAACTCATGGCAAAAGTGATTCAACCAGAATCTAGCGGTTCAGAGATTAGCCGTAGATCGCCGCCAATTGTAGTTGCGCGACCTTGCGAGTAAATCGCTTCTGTTGCGAACTATGAACTCATATCAGTTCCGCCCGCTTCTTCAGGTTCCAAAAATACTAACTCCGTTTGAAGAAGTAGAAGAATCAGAACGGGCAGCTCACCAGCAGTTGGAATCTCTCCTGTTCGAGGCAGAAGTGATGCTACGCGAATACGAGCATTTGAAGCAAGGACTACGTGCCTAATTAGGCTCATTATATGTACGGTTATGTTCAGATTGTTAGATTTCCAAGACTCGTTACTTCATTTCAATTTGTTGTAGTAACTTATATCAGACGTTTGGAATTTGTAATTTTTCATCTAATCAAATTGTTTTATAGTCTCTCAATTTACTTGCTATCATCAGCAGAGTTTGCAGTACATCAAAATTGGCTGTCGCAAAAAGTTGATCGT